CTATTCCAACCTTTGAATTGCAGGATTTTAAATTGGCATTCAGGGGTGAATGAGATAATTATAGGTTTGTGCAACCAAAAAAACAACTTGGTTCAAGAGTGAGGTCTAGAGTATGCAGGTAGGCCTGGGTTTGTCTCTTGTCTTTGGGGGCAACCTGCAATTGTGTCAGACTTCTTACAGGGTTTTGAAATAACTGTATAATTTTTACATCAGAACAGCCCTGGTAAAGGTATTGATTGTTTATTTTTGTAAAATAAAACAAAACTAGATGTAACTCGAAGGGGGGCCTTCGTGAATACCCCCCACTTTGATTGATCAGGAATTAGTGGGAATGATGGGCATGTGGATTGGAAGAATCAAGTGAAGAGTTTATATGCTGCAAGTATTTGCACTGAAGGTAGTTTGATACATGACAACGTAGTATATACATGTACATGTATTTAGCACAGGAATAGGATTAAGATGAGGGTGATTCTGGTAGTCAAAGTAGATAGGTCGAAGGTCGCAGTAACCACAAAGCAGGAGATATGCTCCGCAAACCTTGCAAACTTTTCAGACGCTAAGTCTCACGTTACGTAGGTCAAAGGTCACAGTAGAGGTCACGGTGACCTACATATGGTACGCGACACACCACCTTCCATATGTATGTACCAACAAACCAAGATTCATAACTGTAGGTGAAATAGTACGGAAGATATGCTCCGGAAACGATTCTGACAACATAATGTAGGTCAGAGGTCTCGGTAGGGGTCACAGTGACCTACATATGATATGCGACACACCGCCTTCCATGCATGTACCCACAAACCAAGATTCATAACCATAAGTAAAATAGTACAGGAAATATGCTCCGAAAACCTTTCTGACGACATTATGTAAGTCAGAGGTCACAGTGACCTACATAGATATGCTCCGGAAACCCTTCGGTCGGATGGACAGACGAAGTAAACACTACATACACCCGACTTAGTTGAAGCATGGGGTATGATAATAACGAGTTGGTAAGATACCTTCCAGCGATGTCCTGTTAAAGTATAACAAACGATACCTATAAAACTTGATATATATACCAATCATATTTCTTCCTCATACAAATGTATACAGACTTGTGAAGTATGTATTCCAGGTGGCCAGAGGGTCAGTCTGCGCAGAAGCCCACCACCAGCTGTGGTCAATTTGTCATATCCTACCACATTAGGCAGATGATGGATGGCAGGTCGAAAAGTTCCCAAACCATCTATCTGTACCTCCATTCATGGAGGTTGTGATTGACACATACAAAATGTCTACCACTAATTACCTATATGACGAACTAATTGGACTCTACTTCTACACCGAATCACACTCCCTAATGGAAACCAGAGGTAAGAAAGGATTCCATTAAGGTCAAAGGTCAAAGGTCAAACTTTCTCCCTTATCCCGGGACTACTGAATACAGGGAAATTTTCGCCATTCGACGTTCACATCCATTTTCTCCCAGTATTGAATTCCTCATTGCGGAGGGTGAAAAGGGTTAAAAAGAAACTGTAGCAAAAATTCCTCGGTATACAACAAATGAAAACAACCAGAGAGCTTATTATGGTAGTTTGGAAACAAATTCTTGGTGAAGTTCTGAAAAATCATCAACTTTAGGAAAATTCCTTATTTTGAAATGTTATTAAATAGTATCTACACCACAGTTTCTATTATAAATTAATCTTTAGGTTTTTTTAATGTGTGTGTTCAAACTGGAGTTATGTAACCTAACATATTGTGAAAAATTCTCTTTTCAATTAGAGATGGCTGCTCTGACCATCTGAACACCTAGAATACATACTACACATATTGTGAAAAATTCTCTTTTCAATTAGAGAGTGCTGCTCTGTTTAACCAATCTAAAAAGGGAAAAGGTGGTTAATCCTCGATAAGGAAACCTCCATGTAGATAGCGTACAGTGAGACCCCCTCCCCCACCATCGTTCTAACATATATAGTTGCAAGATATCAAATTAAATCAAGGCAGAATGCATTGCAGCTAGACCGTTCATACAGCCTGGCCTCCTAACTGTGGAGGTGTAGGCATCTGTTAGATGTTAACACTTTGATCTCGTGTAAAATCACGCATCCTCACAGACTACCGTATCAATTCAGGGATTTCTTACGTCAAATCAACCACGTCTTGTTTGATGGGTATATAGTGTATTATATATAAAATCAATGTGTTACCAAAGGCTGAGAATTCTGTAAATTAAATCGACAACACCTCTGTGATTGTTGGAAACAAAGGAAATACAATTTACACATTTAAGTTTAGCATACTTATAACCAATGAATACATTTGATTGTCTTAAATCTTGTCTTCTTCCCTTCTCCTTGATAATGACAAGACTTCAAAATTGAAGTTTTAATGTCATACACCGGTTAAAAAAGGTGGAAAAAACTTATTTTTCTTTTCTGTTTTAATTTGAATTTCTGACAATTTCCGTAACAATCTTACTGAATATCGGATTAAAAATGGCATCTATTATATTATTCCTGCTTTAACTCAATCACCCCTACATATTTAAACTAGACTTGCCCAGTCTATGATTTGGTACGGTTCAAATGTGACTTTAGGGGTTTAATGGGATATATTGTAATATTTACTACATATTGAAACATCAACTATATTGCCTTTACCAGAATTCACAGTTTGCTCTGACAAATTTTTAACAATATAAGAATTGACCTTCATGTTGACGGCATATACGGTAGTATGAGGCAGTTGGCAAGGAACCTATTCTCTCACAGGTGCACGTTAATATAGGTCGATACGTTCAGAAATAATGGGAACAAAAAGTCATCCATTCTGCTTTAAATTCAGACAGATTTTAATTCAGATTAAGAAAATAACGTGATGAAGATATTATTCTGAAGTAGATCACACAGATGCATGAATATTCATAAATCAAGTTTCAAATTGCATTGAAATAAGATGTCAGATTTCACCAAATGTAAAACCTTAGACACTGCAACCCTAAAGTTTATGGCATCAAAAATAATAAACTGCTCCAGACAATATAGTTTTCATAATTTCCAATAAAATGTCACTGTAGATGTTGAACAAGGTGGACTGGGGGTAAAAAATAAATAACATCTGTAACAGAGACTTGTTGATGTAATCTGACCCACTTCATGAAACTCCAATTTTGGGTGATAAACAAAATGGCTGACAAGTGACATTGACGAGTGACCCTACGACCTTTCTACAGATGTAGGGTTACACACCTTGGTGACTACAGTGTACCCACACCTGCCTCTCCATTAAATTATTTAGATATGTTGAGAAGTGACGTACTGTGTCCTATTACACATCGTTATCTGTCAAACAAACATTGGTTCAGGACATCCTCAAAGTCAGGTTTTAATATCGCATTAGCGTGCAGAGTTCATTCAAATATAATCATCTGATCAATTTTAAATGATATTAATCCTTTTAAAATTTGACTATTGCAGCATACAACTGATACAACAGGCTCAGAAACCCTGTATCCCTGACATGTTTTTTTAATGAAATATTTGTCTTGCCAATCCTGATAGCATGATTGTATTATTTTTTATCGTGCCTACAATTTCTAAATATGGTTATGGATGGGAGTTCTAAACTGTTTCCATGCTATATGTCCTTGGGAATAAGTCATAAGGGACTAGGTTTGACTCAGGGGGCAATCTTGGTAGTATGATTGTGTTTGTCTCTTCATGCCTATGTAGTTTTAAAATGTGAATCTCAGCCATTTCCAAGATATGTTGTAAAGACCAAGTCCTCAGGGTGAGACTGGAACATTGAGTCAATACTAGTAGCATGGATGTCTTTTAATGCCCATTATGTGTGTCTGTGGTTTATAATAGATCAGTGAATCAAAAATTCTTCCAGCAGAATATTCTAGCCCCAGGATGTTAACACCAACTTCATTTCAGTTAAGTAGAAATACTAACAAATTCTATATTATTGTCCTGTAAAAAGCCCACCCCGATACCCGGAGTCGGGGTTATGTGTGGCCCCCAGGTTTTATTGCAGAATAAATATCGAAATAATGATGATTCATTTCCCTTAAGCACTTTCATTCAAACACCTTTAACTACAAATACTACTGTTTAACACACAAACTCATGTGCATATTAAATAGTGCACATTTACTATCATAAATTACCTTTTGCCATTCATCAAATATGAATGCACTTCATGCATCCTAATCTCAGGAAGAAAAGAGAGAAAACACACGCCAGCAGTACCACCACTCCCTGGTATTATGAAGTGACGGACAGACCTACAAGTGTGTGATCCCTCGGAACTGACAGTTGTTTACTGTAAACAGGTGATAGAGTTACCCAATCCTACAGTATTACTTGTCATGTTTGGTCTACAGAATTCTCACCTACACAGCTCAAACCTACACAAACGTGTCAAGTCTATACACCATAGAAAACCTCACAAATCTAGTACTGCAAATGTACAGTCATCGTATCTCTAAAACCAACACAAAATACTGTGCTAAAACCGGTGATAGACTTCACCACAGAAACTCAAAAATATAGTACGACAGTCGTATCTCTAAAACCAACACAAAATACTGAGCTAAAATCTATAGACTTCTAAACTCTTACACCACTGAAATTCAAAAACAGCTGAAACCTACACAAACCTTTAAAGCCTATACAGCACACAAAACCTTGAAAATCTAATACTACAGTCATATCTCTAAAACCAACACAAAATACTGAGCTAAAATCTATAGACTTCTAACAGCTAAAACCAACACAAAATACTGAGCTAAAATCTATAGACTTCTAACAGCTAAAATCTACACAGACACTTCTAAAATCGAGAACTAACTAGAAAACATGAACTTCTCAATCCTACACATAACTTAACTCTACAACCCTGGCCACGAAAACCTACAGAGCACCTAGCGGTCAGGATGAATTTTACAGGAAAAAAATAACTATATCAAGAACTATAACGCTATAACATAAATCACTTACCTTTTATTATCTTATTCCTTGATATCTCCTGTAGTACTTCATTTACATCTTGAAATATATCTTACTTTAAAGTTTGTTTATATATCATTAAAACAAAAAGACAAGGTACTCAAACAGCTGATGTAAAGATATACAACTATTCACCCTCCGTCACAGCAGTACATGTAAGCTAACATGCGTTACGAAAGTGTGACTGCGTCTGACGTAATATTGCATCCCCTTCAGCTATATTTCTACAGCATCAACAAAGGAAGTAAGGGTCGGGCATCACCCTGGAGAGGCTTGGCATACAGGTATACAGCATCAGTGACGGCTCACGTCAGCCACGATGATTGAGCAAGGAAACATTATGACAAAGACACCACATAATCATATTTCTCACAGCAGTAACTTGTCAACAGCACGAGTCGCCAACAAAATCAATTAGAATACTCCTATTGTAGCTAAGTGTTAGTAGGAAAATTGTAGTTTAACTAGTAACTGTGACACACTGTATAGGAATATGTAACACTTTAATATTATAGTAGACTTGTAACAAAATGTGATACCAATATAATTATACGTTTATTTCAGTTATTACTACATAAGTTTGTATTCATATTTGTCCATATTTCCACATCAATGTAGTCTGATTAATACAGGGCATCTCACTTCCAGTTCAGACAACATAAAACGATCAAAAACAGCTTAATCGGTTATTATATTTTTCTCTGGCAAAAAGAATATCATAATAAGCGGGTTCCACTGTAGTTAGTCTTTGTAACGAAGCATGATACCTTAATGTTATCATAGACTTAGTAACAAAGTGTGACATCATAATATTATTATCCCACTATACAGAAATATGTGACACCTTATAATTAATACTATGTAAAAGAATTAGTGACAAAATGTTACACATATATAAAGAAATCTTAGTAACAAAATGTTATACATATGTAAAGAAATCTTAGTAACAAAATGTTACACAAATATAAAGAAATCTTAGTAACAAAATGTTACACATATAGAAAGAAATCTTAGTAACAAAATGTTACACATATAGAAAGAAATCTTAGTAACAAAATGTTACACATATAGAAAGAAATCTTAGTAACAAAATGTTACACATATAGAAAGAAATCTTAGTAACAAAATGTTACACATATGTAAAGAATTCTTAGTAACAAAATGTTACACATATATAAAGGAATCTAGTAACAAAATGTTACACATATATAAAGAAATCTAGTAACAAAATGTTACACATATATAAAGAAATTTTAGTAACAAAATGTTACACATATGTAAAGAATTCTTAGTAACAAAATGTTACACATATATAAAGAAATCTAAGTAACAAAATATTACACCCTTAAAGCAAAAAATAGAAATATGTGACACCCTAATATTATGTAAATTTAGTAACAAAATGTTACACATATGTAAAGAATTCTTAGTAACAAAATGTTACACATATATAAAGAAATCTTAGTAACAAAATGTTATACATATGTAAAGAAATCTTAGTAACAAAATGTTACACATATAGAAAGAAATCTTAGTAACAAAATGTTACACATATAGAAAGAAATCTTAGTAACAAAATGTTACACATATGTAAAGAAATCTTAGTAACAAAAGGTTACACATATATAAAGAAATCTTAGTAATAAAATGGTACACCCTTAAAGCAAACTGTATAGAAATATGTGATACCTTAATATTATATAGATTTAGTAACAAAATGTTACACCCATATAGCAAACTGTATAGAAATATATAACACCTTAATATTATGTAGATTTAGTTACAAAATGTTACATATATGTAAAGAAATCTTAGTAACAAAATGGTACACATATGTAAAGAAATCTTAGTAACAAAATGTTACACAAATATAAAGAAATCTTAGTAACAAAATGTTACACATATATAAAGAAATCTAGTAACAAAATGTTACACATATATAAAGAAATCTAAGTAACAAAATATTACACCCTTAAAGCAAACTATAGAAATATGTGACACCCTAATATTATGTAGATTTAGTAACAAAATGTTACACATATGTAAAGAAATCTTAGTAACAAAATGCTACACATATATAAAGAAATCTAGTAACAAAATGTTACACATATATAAAGAAATCTAAGTAACAAAATATTACACCCTTAAAGCAAACTATAGAAATATGTGACACCCTAATATTATGTAGATTTAGTAACAAAATGTTACACCCATATAGCAAACTGTATAGAAATGTAAAGAAATCTAATAAAGGTTGGAATAGGTTACAAAATGTTACATATATGTAAAGAAATCTTAGTAACAAAATGGTACACATATGTAAAGAAATCTTAGTAACAAAATGTTACACATATGTAAAGAAATCTTAGTAACAAAATATTACGCCCTTTAAGCAAACTATAGAAATATGTGACACCCTAATATTATGTAGATTTAGTAACAAAATGTTACACCCATATAGCAAACTGTATAGAAATATATAACACCTCAATATTATAATAGACTTTGTAACAAAATGTTACTAACAGTAATCTTACTAACATAATGCCACACTATTATTACAAGTCTTAGTAACAAAATGTAACATCCACATCTATAAAGTAGTGTTAGTACCAAAATAAGATGCTATTACATAGTCTTTGTAAGGAGATATGAAATCCATACTTAGTTGCATCTTAGTAACCAAATTTGACATACTTATTGTAGTGGTCTTAGTAACAAAATGGAACATCTTATTAGAACAAATAATAGACTAATGTTGTTAAATTTCAAAAGATTTACAATAAATTATACCTAGACCTCCCCCCCCCCCCCCCCCCCCCCCCCCCCCCCCCCCNACTATTATACTCCCTACATTTAACATATTGACTTGTTGCCATCACTACCTCCCCACATCTCGGTACAGAATAACAATAAATCATATTCTGAAGACAGACAACAACAATAGGCTAGCTTTACATGTTATCAACATGTGTTGTTTTTGTCCAACATAGCTTGTACCTGCACTTAAACAACCCTGCTGTGTACCAGAGGTTAACAAGCACAGGTCAGTAACCAGGGTCAACCAAGGTCAAAATCAGGGCCAGTCTAGATCTCCAGCAGCTGAATTCTCTTTCATAAGAAATTCCTTTCACCTGATTATTAACTCATTCACCCCTGATATTTCATAATGAAATATTCCAACTTTTGAATTGGAAGAGTTCAAATGTGTATTCAGGAGTGAATGCGTTTATGTCCTGTAATTGTTGTAATGTTGTGCCAGACCTTCTCTTGTACCACCTTACAAAGATGTTTGTGATCAATACATCTACATTATAATACCAGTAATAGTCCTTTTCATTCCTTAATTGTTTTGGATAAAATTTGATTTTCCCCCCAAAAACCAAATTCCAAAGGGCCTGTCTCAATGCTTACACTTGGTTGCCATTTCCATTTGATCGCTTTGCATTATTCTGGCTTAATTCTGGGCTCATATTTCACGATTCCTTTCTAATGATCTAGCACTGATTCCGTGCTCAATCTAACTTACGTATAACTCACTAAAATTATTCCTCCAAATCATTGACAAGATGTGGACTTTTATTAATTCATAACTGGAACAAGAAAATGGGCTTAAAAGAATTGAGCACAGAATCTGAGTTTGAGTATGAAAACAGCTTCAGTATGAATTATTGGGGGCGTGGTCAGTGTTCCCAGAAACCCCTAAATGAGGGTTTTCAACCCCAAACAGTAGGTTGTACCCCCAGTTTCAACAATTTCCCTATATTTATGTAAAGTACCTAGGGGTATAGAATATTGAAATGTATCAAATATACCCCCGACTCAGTGGGAACACTGCTGGTGGAGTTTACTACACAGAAGCTTGCAGAGCTGGTCTTTCCGGAGAAGTCTGCAGTGTTGATGGGTTTTTTGATTTTTATTTCACAGATCCATGCTTGCTGTGCCAGTGCTTCCATAGAAGCCTTCCGTGGTGATATTTTCGCATAAACTTGCAGTGTTCGTGTTTCGGTGTATCTGTCTTGCTGTTTTCAAAGACGCTTACCTGCTGTGTTGCTGTTTTTTTAACTCATTTACCCCTGAAGACACATTTGAACTCCTCCAATTCAAAGGTTGGAATAGTTCATTATGATAAAAGCTTGCAGTGCTGATGTTTTTACAGAAGTTAAACTATAGAACGCTAGAAGTTCATTGCAATAATTTGAGGTTTTTGCATGTAGATTTACTAATTGCACTGTATTTCACTCCTACATTTTTTTCTTGCCCATTTTTCACATATCCCCTTTCAGTGTTTTCTGATAAAATCTGATAATCATTTATTTAATATGCCGGGCCAATCTCCCCCAGCAGGTGAGGCAGAGGTAATGATTTACTCGTTCCACATCTTATCATCCTCATCAGATATAAGATACAGATGTAATTGGCACAACTCGGTGGCTGGATTATAAACCCCTACGTTCACATTATTTTTCATTATTTTCACAACACCCCTTGGCAAATGTATAAGGTTACGGTAAGTAACGTTATCAGTTCAATAACAGATCAAAGGTTATAATACACTGTTTCGTATCGTCAAAGGTAGGACAGCAATATGGATAATCGGAGGGTTTGAAGAATACCTTCACAAAGCAGCATTATTAGCGGGTGACAGCAATACCTGTTTAAGGATCCCTGTCCCACTGCACTGTGGGGTTTCCTATATACAGTAAACCCCTCCTAACTTCTATTTGTATATGATATAATTGTAGCACAGTTTGGTCCGAGACACTTCCATTGACCAGGCAGCTCCGTCTGTTAGTAGAATATGTATAATGTCACTATAATGTATATATATATAGCCAATACTCTCTTACATGTTTAATATCTATATATATATCACCAATACTCTCTAATACATATAATATATATTTCGCGAATACTCTCTAATACATATAATATATATTTCGCCAATACTCTCTAATACATATAATATATATTTCGCCAATACTCTCTAAAATGTTACTTTCCTTATACATATTGTATAAAGTCATTGTATATATTTCCAATAACCTCTAAAACATTACTATCCCTAGCTATTAACTCTCTTAAATATTAAATTTCCTTCTTATACTCTCTATAAATGTTACTTTCCTCCAAAACTGTCTATTATGTTACTATCCTTCTAAATTATCCACTCTTTGTATATGTCACCATATATATCTCCAATTGTTTCTAAAAATGTATTAACTCTCTAAAATATTCAATTCCTTATAATGATCTCTAAAAATGTTAAATTCCTCCAAAACTCTCTA